TTGAACAAATATGCTAAGTTGATTGATTTTTATACATAAAATCAGATTCCTACTTTATGCTTCACAGAATTCAACTTCAGATGGATTAAGACCAACATATATGCAAAGCAAAATTTAAAACCTTTGGAAAACAAAAAGACTTTCTTAATGACCTCAAGGTACATGAGGATTTCTCAAACAAGATGTAAGAAATACAAAAACTAAAGACTAATTAATTTGACAACATTAGAATAAAAAGCTTTTATACAGGGGCACCTGGGTGGCTCAGTGGGTTAAAGCCTCTGCCTTCAGCTTGGGTCATGATCCCAGGGTCCTGGGATGGAGCCCCACATTGGGCTCTCTGCTCAGCGGGGAGCCTGCTTCTTCCTCTCTCTGCCTGCCTCTCTGCCTACTTGTGATCTCTGTCTGTCAAATAAATAAATAAAATCTTTAAAAAAAAAAAGGATGATGAACTGATTACTAAAAGTAATTCACAGAAAAAAAAAACAACTTATATACCATAAAAGGTTTCTTAAAAAAAAAAAAAAGCTTTTATACATTAAAAGTCACCATATTCCATATAAAAAGAAAACTAAAAAATTGGGAGAAAGTATTTGAGACACATATAACTGACAACAGCTAATAAACTCACACAGATTACTCAGAAAAAAGCAAACAACCCAATAATAAAATTGGCAATGACAGGAAAAAGTAGTACACAGATTAATGATCACAGATATGACCAAAGCTTAATGAACGCATGAAAAGCTGCCCCTATAAAATTATTCGGGATAACTACATTACAGTGAAGGTACATTACAGTGAAGCTACCCAGAAATCTGAGTAGCTTAATAAAACAGGTTTATTTCTCAGTCATTACACAAATTCAGTGGAATTTGACAGGGGGCTCTCCGCTTCATAAAAACCACTAAAGGACCCATGCTCCACTGTCTAGTTGCTGTACTGTAAGAAAGGGCTAGAGAATTATGCACAATTTTTGAATTCTCTGCCCTTGAAGCCACACTCGTCATTTCTGCTCATGGCCTACTGGCCAGAAGTAGCTAGCTGGCCTCAGCTAACTGCAATGGGGTTGGGAAACATTGGAGAAACACATAAGTATTGAGCAAATAATAAATGTCTCTGCCACAACTAGAAGTTAGAGAAATCCAAGTTAAGGCAACCGCAAGATGCATCTCACACTCATTAGACTGGGGAAACAACAACTCTGATATTAATAAGGGTTGGTGAGGATGTGAAAAATGGAAACAGTCATCTTCAGCTGTTAAGCATGTAAAGTGGTACAGCATCTTAAAGTATTTGCAAAGTTGGGACAAGTTAAAGATGTACATATTTATGACTATACTTCCCATGTGTGCACAAAAGGTGTCATATGAAAATTAGTCACTTAAAAAATGTTTGTATTGACAAAATATTTGAAATGATCTAAATATTGAAGATAACCCAAATATTGGGAAAATATGGAATGATACCTAAATAAGCTGTCATGTAGTCTTACTGAAAGTGAATATTGATAGAGCATATTGAACAGAAAAAAAAGCTCTACATTAAGTAATTAACATAGTGTCTGGCATTTGATCAATGTTAGCTATAATTATCACCATTACTTCTACTATTACTTTTATTAGAAAAATAAGGATGCAAACTAGCTTGATGCAGGGAGATGCATAGTAGAAATAACATTAACTGGGAAAAAATAGACAAGAATTAGAATATACACATTAATTAAGGCAATGTACAATATATGCATGACCATCAACAATATTTTTAAAAAATAACTTAGAAGCTTGGTAAAATTTAATGCTTATTAAATTACTCTTGATATTAATTCACTTACTGAAAATTATACTGCCGTTAAATTTTCTCAAAACCCTACATTATTTAAAATTTCTAGTTTACTTTGCTAGTAGATAGAAGTATTTTTATTTTTTTTTAAATAATTTATTTATTTATTTGACAGAGTGAGATCACAAGTAAGGAGAGAGGCAGGCAGAGAGAGAGGGGAGGAAGCAGGCTCCCTGCTGAGCAGAGAGCCTGATGCGGGAAGATCCCAGGACCCTGAGATCATGACCTGAGCCAAAGGCAGAGGCTTAACCCACTGAGCCACCCAGGCGCCCCTAGAAGTATTTTTAAAAACACTTAAGAAAATACAACTGTGACAACTATTCTCATTATTGACGAAAATCTCCATAAATAATTCATGATCCATGAAACCATTAACCTTTGAAAGAAAAATAATTTATCAGTTGTTGCTATTACAAAACAGTGTATTTGATAACTGCATTATCCTTATCACACATTTTTTAGTTAATATGACTTTGTATCCTAAAAGAAACCTCCATAAAAGTATTAAGAGAGTCCAATGACTAACTAAAACTATTACATGCTTATAATTTAAATTTTTATCAGCATAATTTTATCCACTGATAAAAGTCAGGAACGACAACACATAACCTTTTATTTTATACCTTCATCCTAGCACTGAACGAATTTGATATTCATTCTCATACAGTGACCTGACCTTGAATTCTTTTGCTGAGGTCAAGAACACAGCAACTACACTGGGAAGTCCAGAACATACCCACACAGTAGAGAGAAGGAAAATAACTGTCTACCCTCATTTCTGGGTTTATACTGTGGTCAATGAATATGGCTTATGAGGCTTGTTTAGAGTACCTGTGTTTAGTAGAAAAAAGACTGTCTTCTGTAGTCTTAAGTGTTTCAGGTCATAGGAGCTGTGCCTTTTAATGCTCTATACCTCTTTATAAATCTATTTGATGTTCTCTTCATCATCATTCCAATTATTTGCTTGCATACATACTCTACACAGTATTGGTGTTGGGCATGAAATGGTCAAAGAATATTCCTTGAGCTACCAAGCTGCCAGGACTGGTGATCCTTGCTCATCCTGGAGGTGTCATGGCACTGTGAAATGGAGGTATCTTTTTTTTTCCTAGCTTGGACTCAAATCAAGAAGTGGCTTTCCTACCTAAGGAAGAGAAATATAATCCTTCCTATTGCCTAAGAACAGTGACAAAAACTGGCAGAGGGAACACAGATGGGGACAGATGGCTTAGACTAGAGAGACATCTCCAGAGTCAATGGAAATATGCCATTTCTGGATTACCATTTTACATCTCCAGCGGTATAGGGATCACAGATACTTAGCTGTCCAATGCAAACACAGCTGTAACTAGAGATATCTGAGAAAGACAGTTATGGAGGCCAAATGGAATAACTTTAATATCAAGGATACACATCATTCTCATAGCTCACAAAGTCACTCTAGAAAGGACACATCAACCATATTTTGAAGATGTTCTCAGCTTTAGCTTTCAAAGATCAACTAGAAGAAAAAAGACCTCAAGATACAACCCTGGTGAAAGGGTTAGTTCTTTATAATGTCTTATAGCTCACATGCTCTGCCTCATATCTGGGATTTGAAATTACAAGGATTTTAATCACCCATAAACTAAGCAGAGCTTAGTTTCCTCATGTAAATGTAAACTTGGTTATGTAAGGCCACAGAGAAGCTTAAATTAAAAACCAAAGCTTAACTAATGAAGTAATTTCTCTATTGGATTAGTTTATTCATGAACCATACAGTGAGACTCACAGAGGATAACAAATACACATTATTGATTCTATACATACCTGAAAATTCCAAATAGGATTAATTTCATAAAAGTAATACAGTCCCGTCAAACAACTTTTATGATGGGTTTTGAGATTATCTTTATTTAGGAAGTAATTCTTTTAGGGTCTCGTCACATAAAGGTAGTTAAACTAATATATGGAATTAATAAGTAAATGCTACCTAATGATTTCCCTCCAATCCTACCCTTTTCAAGGTATTTGTTTATGAGTGTATTTTTTACACTGAATTTTTATTAATTCACAATAAACAAAATTTCTATTATACATTTGAGTTAATTACACATAGGTTTGCAGACACAAATATTTTAGAGGAAAAGATACAAAAAATAATTTGTATCTGAAAAGGAAAGCATGCTGGATAGTTTGGGTAATTTTCCAGGAAAAAAATCAAGGTGGAATAGGTTTTATAAAGAAAGGTTTTTTTATTTCTTTGAAAAATAAACCAGACATACTATAAATAAGACATTAAGTAATGAACTCAATACTTCACTTTATTTACCTTTTACTGAATTAGTTTTACAGTAAGTTGCAATTAAAATCAGAGATTAGAATTCTTTTAAAATTTTGCCTACAATGGACTCAGGAAAATTTGGTAAACATTTTTTTTTTTTTCCAGAATGGGAAAAACAATAGCTCTATAAATGTTCTGGTGGCCAGTTAGGAATATTCGATATACCCAAATAAACAGAAGAGCTTCTACTTAAAAGATTAAAGATTAGGAAAGGAATTCTAAAATTAATGCAATAATTTTTCTGGTTAGACAAATGATCAAAGAAATTTTCATGACATATGGGTTAAAGGGGTTTCTCTTTTCACTGGCAAAACAATTATGTGTATTTTGGATTTTTCTTAATAAGAAAAACAAAATTTTACATATTAGACTCTTTATTCTGTCATATGTATGATCTTATTTCTTCCTGGTTAAAATTTACTTAATTGATTATGTGTTATTTTCATAATTATGAAAGATCAATAAAGTGATTTCTATTTTGAAAAAGAGAAATGACAGTTGGACATTGTATTTTACCCCTCAAAGCAATCAAGGAAAGACTACTACATTCGACTACTTCCTATGATGTAGGCTGCAAACAATTCTGATTTAGAAGAAGCAAAGCCATGGACTAAAAAATATCACTGTCAAATAAGAGGAGTATCTTGAAAATTTGGGGATGAATATCACCTTGGGTTAAATGTACTAAATAAAATTGCTTTTTATGCAACCAGGTCCAAAAATAAAATCAAAGATAAAGGCTGAGGGAAATGCAAGAAACAGAGCATGGAAACAGGACACATCAAGATTCCTGCTAAATGTTTCTCATGGTAACCCAAAGGAATAGACAACTTACCCTGGATTTTAGAGATGGTTTTTGCATATCTCTTTCTAAGTCTTTTGTTTGAAGGATGTTAGGTAAGGGGTTCTTACAACTGGCCTCCTATAAAAGAGGTACAAAAGAAATATTAGAAATCAAAGAACATTACCCTATCTGGAAATTACAATGTAGTGAAAAGCAATTTTCTCATGGGAGACAAGGCATTTCTGGATTGAACTATATATATCAGAAGCCACTGAGATTTGTCATGAGGAATCAAAATGTTTCCTTTCTCATTTGTCACCTACAACAGTGAAGTAAGGTAAGATGGTGACTGAGTAGATGTGGGGCACACAGAACACATGTATTCAGAGATGACCAATCAGAGTCTCATCTACACTATCCACTGATAGCACCCCTCTTCTTTGGAGAATTAGGTAGTTAATTCTCTAAGATATCAATCACCAAACTACTGTTTTTTACAAATGGGTTCTGATTATGTAAATACTTTTTCTTAAACAAATTCCTTCAAATAGTTTAGCAAACCACTGTTGAATAGTGATAGTTTCATACCAACATCCTGAGGAAAAATTTCTGTGTATTTGGTTCCCAAAATTACTAAGCTCCTAAGTCCTTGGTTCATACCAAAATAGTACTTGGAAAGCTAGCAGAAATTACAAGGAGGCAGCTCACATGGAATTGGATTTACTGTTTATTTCTACATGCTAAATAAAAATAATACTAATTTCATTAAAAAAATACAATGTAGGGCCTTTCTACTACTATTGCCACTAATTTGGATAAATTTTCCATAAGGGATTTCATTGCCAAATTAAGAGAGATAAATGTATATAGGGAAGATTACAGACAACAATAAAACTAAGGAAAAAATAAGTTCAATTTCTTTTACTTGCTCTATTAATGTTGACCTCTGTATCACATTTCTTCACTTATTTTTTACCTCTAACAGTGAACTTGCCCATTATCCACCACTCCCTTATCAAAATCATGGATTTTCACCCCCAGTATACTTAAGGGTTAATTAATTATAATCTTTTAAAGAATATTTTAGTCAAATGCTTTACAATATTATTAAATTTTGCTGAGATTTTACTTAATTCTAGAGAGAACAGGATATTATTAGTATAAAATATCCTTTAGAAAATACTACTACTACTTGCTACTAAAAAATACGTACTGCATCTTAGGATATATGAAGCACTATATTAAAGTCTTTGCATTAATGCCATTTTTGCCCCCACATAGCCCTATTAGGGATAGGTGGTATTATCATCACTCCCCTTTTAAGGATAACATAAAATCTTACAGAAGTTAAGTAACTTGGCCAATGTCACACAGAACTCATAATTGGCTCTAACTTTATAAACTTGTATTACCTTTATATTATATCTCTAATATCTAATACACTTGACATCTTAAACCACTAGTTTGTAGAGCCATATCATTTTATTTATTTTACATATATATATATTTTTTTTTAAATTTCTTTTCAGCGTAACAGAATTCATTGGTTTTGCACTACACCCAGTGCTCCATGCAATATGTGCCCTCCTTAATACCCACCACCTGGCTCTCCCAACCTTCCACCCCCCCACCCCTTCAAAACCCTCAGATTATATTTTAAATCCAAAAGTTTTAAAAAATTAGCTAGTCTGCCCCACTCCTCTCTAATTTTACAGGTGAGGGACTTGAGGACATCTGAGGTGATGTGCCCAAGATCACACAGAGAGTGGCAGAGCTGAGACCAGTGCCTGGACCGCAAGGCTGTACATGGCACCTGTTCCCAGCTTTGTGCTAGGGAGTGATATGACCAGACTCAGAGGGCATCAAGAGCCTCCTCTGTGGTACTGCCAACACTCTCAGCTGCCTGTGGCCTCACGTACAGCTCTACAGAAGGAGAAGGACCCACGGGTACATTTCTGAGCTCTCCAAATAAGCAAGCATTCCAGTCCTGCCCTTTCCCACAAGTCACAACACCTGCTGGCCGTAAGCTGCTTACTGGAAATAGTGAATGAACCCATTCCCACTTCTGACTCACTGTGAGAGGGATCAACTATATCCAGCATGACATTTAGGGGATCCAAGTGATTAACTGTATAATCTATTGCGTAATTTGACTACACTTGGATAATATAATCATGCTTAATCCTTCAACCCCCTTTTAAAACTACTGGGATGTAAATGTTATTAAAATGTGATACGAAAAAAGACGGACTCTTAAGGGAAGCTGACAGGAATCGCTGACCTTTGTTTATGATTATCTGAGTGTTTACAAATGCCTACAATTCTTTCCTCCTTATGCATAGGCTAAAAGGGATAGTGTTTCTTTATTACTCTTATCTCCCCCACCCTCTCCCTGTGAATTAATGAGTACAAATGTGATAGTTAGCGTTCCCTATAAAACTCTGAAAAACTTTTCTGTAAACTTATAACTGAAATGCCACTTACATGAATTACATTTATTTTTTTGTTTTAGGACTTCACATTCAGACAACAGAGAGAAAATGAAATTTAGGAGTCAGGGCATTGAAGTGGCAATCAAGAGATCTGACTTCTCATCCTGGTTCTCTAACCAACCAGCTCTAGGAACCCACGCAGGCATTTTAACCTTTTGGACATCCCTTGCTTCAAAGATTTCTAAAACAAAGGCATTGGATTAAATGAGCTCCAAGAAAACTTTCTGGGTCTTAAATTTCGAGATTTTCAGATTCTTTCAGGAAGAAGCAGTATTTGTTGACAAAAAGGTAACCTACCACCTGTTCAGAGTTGCATTCCCAATGCCCCCACGAAACTGCTGCAAAGTACTGGCCTCCACCCATGTAATGGGCAGTGAGCCCAGGGGCTGTGGAGCCACAGAGGGAACATCTCCTGCAGGGCTAATGTTACTCAGATTTCTGGAGAAAATTAATACTTTCCACTAGTAGCTTAAATAAGTACTGGTAATAACTTCACGTATTCTTTAAGACAAATATATTATGGAGTTAAGTGAGAATTTTTTTTTTAAAAGATTTTATTTATTTATTTGACAGACAAAGATCACAAGCAGGCAGAGAGGCAGGTAGAGAGAGAGGAGGAAGCAGGCCCCCTGCTGAGCAGAGAGCCCGATGTGGGGCTCGATCCCAGAACCCTGGGATCATGACCTGAGCTGAAGGCAGAGGCTTTAACCCACTGAGCCACCCAGGTGCCCCAGTGAGAAATATTTTTAAGATAAAACTTTTTCACAGTTATGTCTTTAAAAAGCCATTTACTCTGGTGGGTATGTACCTAGGAGAATTAAAAAACAAAGGTCCACACAAAAACTAGACAATTAGTCATAGCAGCATTATTTATAGTATCCAAAAAGTGGAAACAACCCAAATGTCTATCAAATGATGAATGGGTAAAGAAAATATGGTATAACCACACAATGGAGTATTACTCAGGTATAAAGAGGACTGAAGTATGAATACCTGCTAAACATAGATTTACCTTGAAAACATCACACTAAGTGAAAAAAGCCAAACATAAAGCAACATGTATTGTGTGATTCCACGTATATATTAAATGTCTGGAATAAGACAGTGATAGAGTGCCATAGTGGCTGTAGAGGCTAGAAAGAGGGGAACGATTCCTAATGGGTCCAGTCTATATGGGTTTCTTTTTAGGGTGAGAAAAATGTTCTGGAATTAGGTAATGGTTGCACGACTTGGTGAACATTCTAAAAAACAATACATTTTATATTTTGAACAGGTTTATCTTATGGCATCAGAAAAATATCTAATTAAAAAAAAAATAAGTCATTTAAACCCCCACACTCCCAGAGCAAAGGAAAAGACCTTGGGTTTGTTTGCACTCCGCCCGTAGAACTTCTCTGAAAAGGCCTGAATGGGGGAATGATTCCCGTTTATAAGTATTAAAATGTATGTGGACATAAGAATTCACTCAATGAATATTAACTGAACGCTATCATGTGTGGCATTCCGATGCTAGTCATTGGAGAAGGTAATGATAAACACATCAGACCTTATTATAGGGTATATTCATATTTAAACATTTCATCTGCTTAAATGAGAGTTAACTGAATTGACTGCTCACTCTAATGACTTTTGTGCAACAACCGATTGCTTAAACTAGCTGTGTCACCTTGGCATTCTGAAAACACCATTTAAAAATACAATAGGTCTTACTATTCAACTACTAATGCCATGAAAAGATGGAAGAGCACTCCCTGCTTCTTCAGCGGAGCACACTACTCCCCAGTTATTCACAGGCTTGTTTCCTCATTTCATCCAGGTCTTTGTTCAATTTCACTGAAGAGAATTCCCTTCCTGGAACACCTTATCTAAATTTTCACTGCTCTCTCCTTCCACTTACAGCTCTCTCTGCCCCTACTCTGTATTTCTTCACAGCCATCAGCAAAACCTGACTTTAATACTCACTGATTCTAAAACTGATAGCTGCCAGAGGGGAGGGAGTGTGTAGCATGGCAAAATAGGGGAAAGGATGTGGGAGATACAGGCTTCTGGTTATGGAATGAATGGGAATACAAGGCTCAGCATAAGGAATATAGTCAAGGATACTGTAATAGTGTTGTATGAGGGCACATGGTAGCCACAGTTGTGGTGAGCATAGGACAGTATATAAACTTGTTGAACCACTATGCGGTATACCTGAAATTAATCAACATTGTGGGTCAACCATACTAAGAAAAAAAAATTAAAAGAAAATACCGGTTCTAATTCTCTGTCCATCTCACCGTATCCTGTGAGAGGACTGGGTCAGTCTTGCTCATGAATAGATCCACAGGGCTAGAACCATGTTTGGCACCTAGTAGGGGCTCAACTGTTGAAATGAATGGATAAACCAAAGGAATGAGTAACATCCCTTTTCTAACTGTTCATGATCCCCTGGCCATTCTTCCTGTTTTTAGTTCTCTCCTTAATCAGCTTACATTTCATGATTCTTCATTCCTTTGCTAATACACTTAATTTTCTTCATCCTGTTTCTAATCATTGTATTCATCTGGAAAAAGTACAACATTGGACGAACCCAGCTATATGCCTTCTCTGTGCTGGGAATTAAGCGAATGAAAGTGGTTGGGGAAAAAGTATATAATTTGTTGA